AGGTGCAGCCTCACCAGGGCCGAGGACAGGGGCACGATCACTTCCCTACTCCTGCTGGCCACACTAGTTCTGATACAGGCCAGGATGCCATTGGCCTTCTTGGCCGCCTGGGCACACTGCCGGCTCATGTTCAGCCGGCTGTCGACCAGCACCCCCAGGTCCTTTTCCTCCGGGCAGCTTTCCAGCCACTCTTCCCCAAGCCTGTAGTGTTGCATGGGGTTGTTGTGGCCGAAGTGCAGGACCCGGCACTTGGCCTTGTTGAATCTCATACAGTTTTTCTCATTTTATTTTATTTGGGATTTATTTACTAAAATTTTGCATGGTTGTGTCTTCCTTTTACTATTCTTTCCTCAAAACTAACCTCCTCACACAAATATTTGTGAATGTAACTATGATTTCCATTTTCTTTTCCTTCCATTGCTAGAATTGGGATCTGCATAATTTTGGAGAGGACTAGACTCTTCACCAAACTATGTAATTTCAGCATGATTTTGGAAACCAGTATTTCTGTCCTCAAAGCAATATTCAGCTTGCTGATCCCTTCAGTATTTCAATTAGTGTTCCTTACCTAGAATATCTTTAATTCTGTTACTTTTAAAATATGCCTGCACGGCATCAAATATTAATGGCAAAATAAGGACTCCAGAAAGCAAAGTAAGTGATAAAGGAACTAAGAGGATTTAACCTGTGACATTTGTTATATGCTTATATTTGATAAAAGGAAACAAGAAAAACCAAAAGTGAAATTCTGCATCAATAAACCTGCTTCATCTAATGAAGCTAAGACTATGAAAGTAGATATATCAGCCCTTGAGTGGCATCCTCAGATAGGAGCATTTATGAAATGTCTGTTAAAAGCCTTAGTTTGTAGAAGTTAGGAGTGTTGTTCAGATTTTACAGTCAGGCTCTCAAGAGACCTGATGCAGAATTTGACTGATTCTCTGTATTTTTGTCTAAAATAAGCAAGTATCTCATGTGAGTGCACTGCAAATTAGAATTGCTTGTGATTAAAATTTTACCTGGAAATAACTGTTTACCGTTATCAGTCTTCTGCCCCAGCAATTTTGAGTTACTCTTAAACAATACTTGCTTCATCGCTGAGTCAGTGACCACTTTTAAAGTCAAGTTTAACAGTGAAAGTCCATGGAAACTTGACTCTCAGAAAACATATTTCCAGGCATCTAAATTTTAAGCCAGGTGAATCTCTTCTAAGATGACTAGTATTGTTGCATTCCTGTTGAATTTTTGTCTGCAACAAATCTATCTCAAACATGTCTGTGGGTTCCTGAGTTAACCAGAGTCCAGCTGAACAAGACTCTGATGAAAGCATGAACATCTCTTTAAATGCCTACCACAGACTTTCTAGTAATTATAAAGTCCAGTATCATAGGCTTTTTCAGGCCTAGAATCAACTGGTGTTTATTTCTGAAATCTTTGACAATTACTTCCTTCCTAAGGGATTAACTCCCTGTTAGAATCCGTAGAAGGCTAAAAAACAGTAACTGTTATTCTGTAGTAATTTTATATTTACAAAAAATTATGTAAGACTGACAGTTACAGGGAGCAATGAGGAAAAATAAGAAATGTAACACTCCACCCCATCCTTTGCTGCTGTAGTATTTAGAATGCGAGAGAGAAATCTGTGAGAACAAGTTGGTTAGAAGACAGATAGCATTGGTAGGGTAGGTAGCAATAAATATATTTTCCATTTGTTATCACCATGTACAAGGAGTGTTTGCAGGGCAATAAGCTGGTGGTGAAATAGTGATTTCTTTCTGTGTATGTCCTGTTTATAAGGGATTGTTGAATGCAAAATATGTCATAACCCTAAGAAGCACGTGATTTGTATTTTAATGCTTTTTGGTCAGAGTGTAAAAACACACTTTTCTGGGAGACTAATAAAAAGAGCTTTTTTGGCCTTGAAAACAGGTACAGGACAGGCTACAGCAAAAAATTCAACTCTCACCAGCATTAAAAAGGAGGCATATATTTTAAAAAAAAAAAAAAAAAAAAAAGAAGGAGGTTTTCTGAAGAAACACCATGGAAACCATTCACAGTTCCTTTGGAGGTTATAGCTGATTATACAAGGCGACCATTGATGCTATGTAGAAAATTCTTGCCAGGATGTCCACATTTGCTTTATATGCAGATACACAAGGAGATTATTTAAATGATAAGAAACATTGTGTTTATTGTTCATTAGGATAAAAGGTTGTCCATTTTTGGCATCTTAGCCACCTCACGTCTTAGCACCTAACATGCTGTTTGGTTCTAGCAGATGGTGACAAAGCAGTAAGTAGCTAGTAAACTTTTTATGTTCTGTAGGGACTGTTGAGGGGAAAAAGTCTTTACAAAATATTCCCCTTGCTATGGACTTCCAAGTGAAATAACCATGTGTGTGTTACTTTATTTTAGCTGAATAAATCAATAACCTAGGATGAAGATAATAAAAATCTGTTTGAATTTTTTCCCTTTTTGTCAAAAACATGATGGTGTTCAAGTTGAATGACATCATCATCATCATTAACTAACAGT